ATGGAGCGATATGGAGTGATGAAAAATGATATGGAATGATATGGAGTGATATGGAGCTGTCTCTTATACACATCTAGATGTGTATAAGAGACAGAATTAGCACAGCATGTAATACAATTAAAATCATTTTTTTATTAATAAAAATTTGGTATACTGAATTTTTATATTTTTTACTATATAATCGGTATATTAAGAATATTTGATTTATCGAATATCTGATATAACAATCCAAAATTGCCTAACTGGAGGGTTCGTTATATTGAGTTCTGACTGTAATATTAAAATTTGCATTTATTAAGTAATAAAAAAATAAATACTTAAATACTGCAATATTTTATTATTTATTAAATATTTAATTTTTTAAGCATTTTTTTAATACTTTAATTTAATATTTATAAGCACTCTTGTATTTAATAATACTATTTATAAATATTTAATAAATACTTTAATAAACATTATAATGATAATATTTTTAAAAAAAATTTTCAAAAAAAAAAAATATTGCAAAATATTTTTTTATTAAAATAATATTTATCAAAAAAATGTTTTTACATTATTTTTTATTTAATTACAGCAATATTCAAAATAAAGGAAACACTTGAAAATTTTGTTGCCAAGAATTTGTCAGATTGTCAGTTTTCCAGCTTGCCAGCAAATTGAAAAAATAAACAAACATGTGACAAGTTCATTATATAATATAAACATTTGATTTCGCTGATTTTATATATTAACATGTTACGTATTTGTTATTTTTTCAATTTACCGGCAAGCTGACAATTCAGTAATAAAATTTTCAAGTGTTTCCTTTATTTTGGATATTACTGTAAACTATTTAAAAAAATATTTTACAATATTTTTTTAATAAATTTTTTATTTATTAAAAAAAAATTTTTTGCAATGTTTTTTATTTAATAATTATTAAAAAAAAAAAAATTGTAAACCATTTTTTTTAATTAAACTATCTAAAAAATGTTTTTACAATATTTTTTATAAATATTTTTTAATACCTATTTGGTTTCTTTAAAATTAATGATTATATAAAAAAGTAATTATATAGAAATTTTTAGCTGAAATTATAGATATATTGATATTTTGGCTAAATACAATGCTGATCTGAATTATAAAATTTTTCTAATAAGAAAGCAATTTTATAATTTCAGCCAAAAATTATAATATAGAACTTTACAGAAATTTCAAGTTTTCAAATAATATCATTTCTATATCATTTTGATATTGATTCAATATCAATTTAATATCAATCAATATAATATTGAAATAAAATATTATCATTTCAATATCAAAATAATATATATATATATTCCTTATCCAAAAGGAAGGATTTTTTGAAAAGTATTTTTATTAATATAATGTTAAAAGTTTATATTTAATAATCATGTGATTTTGTTTCAATTTTCTGAATAGATCTATATTATATAATCTGAAATTCAGCCAATAAAAATCCATTATTTCTTGAAAATTTTTTATTACAATAAGATAATAAAACATAAAAAAAAGTAGATTTTAGCAATAAAAATACAGCTACTATTTTATAACAGTCAAAATTTTTTTTTTTTACATTCAATTCAGATTATAATAATTTAGGTTGGCATTATCACAATATATAGAGTTAGCCCAAATTATTATAAATTTTAGCCAATACATTTTGTTTTAAATTTGGGCTGATCATAAATTTTAAATACTTATAACTTTTATATAGATCTTCTTTTAAAAATTTAACTAGTAATTTAATAGAGTTTATCTTAAAGAATAAAGTGTCTAGTTTATTTTTTCTAAATTGTATTTTTTTAAAAAAGTTGAAAGATTTTCAAGTGTTACATTTTTATTGTTAAGTATAAATTTCTGGTATTATATAAATAATATATTAGTAAATAATTTTTTTTTTTTTGCTGCAGCACATATAGATCTTTATTAAGATTTTAAAAATAAGTTCATACAATATACGTAAAACTAACATAAATCCTAATTTAGTAAAGAACTACACCACCCGCTAACTTTAGCAAAGCAACCATGTGTATACTACTGTCAGTGAAGAACTTAGACTAGAGGAGTAAGTCTGCCTTGTAGGCATCCTTTCTTAAAGAGACCCCCTCCTTCTGGTCTATGCCATGAGTGCTCCTAAAAACTCACTGCTACTGCAGATGAAACCCATTTCAAACAAAATGAAATAAAAGAAGTAAAAACAATAAGTCAGAGTAAAAAAAAAAATTTAAAAAGAGATAACTAAAAAAAAAATTAGTATTCTACAGATACAAAGTCTACTATAGTGTCTATTACAGCTACCTATAGCCTCCAACACTAAGCAGTTATTTTGTTAGTTCTCCAACCTTTTTATTAGTAGTCGAATTTCGGCTAGCAAAGTAAGCTTTTTTACTAAAATGGCCAATTTTTTGAAATATTTTTATAAACCTAGATACAATGGCTTTCAAAACAATTGTGTAATTATTTTGTAAAATTTTTAAAATATATCAAAATATATTTGAGGTATTTTTGAGATTAAAATATTAAAATAATATTAAAGTTAATTATATTATAATAATAAAATAATAATAAAAATATTAAAAAATTATTGTGATATTATTTTGAGTTATTTTTATAGACCTAGATACAATATAATTACAAAATAATAACAAAAATATAATAAAAACATTTTGATGTATTAAATGTATTTTTGTAGTATTTTAAAATTATTACAAAATCATTTCAAAAAATTAGCCATTTTTAGTAAAGTTTTCAGATTCACTACTATCCAAACCTTTCTTCATATTCCTTAGAGTAGAAAATACGAATTTCTTTTTGATAAGTTTGCTCATCTTAATCTTGTTATCTGTAGTATTTGGTTCAACCTTGTTAGTTGAGTCTTGGTTCTGCTTCTGATTATGACCACTTCTTAGTAATCGATTATGACCTTTAGATAGTTGAGACGAGAAGTACCTAGTCCAAACATCTTTATATTCTTGCAAGTTCAACTTGGTATTCGTGATTTTATCTAAATCTGCCCAATTTTTGTAATACGTGATGAACTTACAGGTACTTTTCTCCTGAACCACCTTAAAAGCTTTGCATCCCAAATGGATATAGGTGATTGGGAAGGATCTGAGGAATATAGTAATGAAGTAGTGATAGTTTCAGGTAAATCTTTCACTACAGCTTGAAAACGTTCTCTTTCCTTTTTTTATTGAAGATTCCAGTTAGCAGGATACCAATAGATAGGAAGACCTCCTAAAGGAGCGGTCCAGACTCCTTGATTCCATAGACTCATAGCTTACTCATTGAAGTCAATTGATACAGTGACCATAAAATATTTTTTCTGACGTTTAGTCTTGAAAGCGATTACGTGATCCCATTTCTCAAGATGTTGAAGAAGTTTAAGTTGAGCCCAAGTGGAAGGGATATCATATAAGGTAATTTTCTGAACGTTATCTTTAAGTACTGGATCAAATCCAGTCATTACTGATTGTATTTCTTTTAAAGAAGCACGTTGTTATTTTTTCTTAGCTGGCTGACTTTACTAAAAATGGCCCAATTTTTTGAAATGATTTTGTAATAATTTTAAAATACTACAAAAATATATTTAATACAACAAAATGTTTTTAATATATTTTTGTTATTATTTTGTAATTATATTGTATATACATGCCACCCAAATTATTTTGGACTGCCGTAATTATAAGTAAAATCCCAAATTCAATTATGGCATTTCAAATTATTTTGGCACTTTACATAGTAAATTATATATAAACTGAATGAATTATGACATCCCAAATTATAATTATGGCATCCCAAAATAATTTGGGCAGCATGTACAATATTGTATTTAGGTCTATAAAAATAACTCAAAATAACATCACAATAATTTTTTAATATTTTTGTTATTATTTTATTATTATAATATAATTAACTTTGAAATTATTTTAATATTTTAATCTCAAAAATACCTCAAATATATCTTGATATATTTTAAAAATTTTACGAAATAATTGCACAATTGTTTTGAAAGCCACTGTATCTAGGTCTATAAAAATATTTCAAAAAATTGGCCATTTTAGTAAAGGAGTCTTGCTATTAGACGCTAAACACTTAGTCGTGTTAACTTTTTACCTATTACCGGGTGGAGTCAGTGAAGTATCACGGTTGCTACCTACATTTAGTATATTATAAGACTATTATAAGTATATTTTTTATGTATTTAAAATATACTTAAAATATATTATAAAATATATTATAAGTATATTTTAAGTATGTAAAAAATATATCTATAATATACTTAAATTTTAATTTAAGTATAATTTAAGTATATTTTAAGTATTTTAGCAAAAATTAAATATATTAGAAATTATATTTTAAGATAATTTTAAATACATTTTGAGTATATTATAAGTATTTCGCAATTTTTAAATTAAATATAGTATAATTTAAATATATTTTAAAAAGTTTTTAATTATATTTTAAATATAAATACTTTTTATAGGGCATTATAAATTTAGTCCAATTTAAAATTCAATCATGGATATCTGAAGTTATTCTTCACAGATATCCATCATGTCAGATATTTGTATATAGTATATATAGATTTATGGCACGTTATTTTATATAGCAAGGCAAATCAGACAAAAGTCTGTCAATGTATATGGCTATGGCAAAGCAAATCAGACAAAAGTCTGTCAATGCAGTGAATGCACAGATGAATTATCACAGTTATTTCTTTCCATTTTTGGGGCATGGCTAAAGCGGGGCTAATATAGCTCAAAAAATTTTTTCAGATTTCCCTGATGTGGCACGTGTGGGAAAATATTTACCTGTGTCATCCAGCCGGCACAGCATTAAGCCGTGGCTAAGCTTGGGATGTCCTTCGTGGATGTGGCGAGTACTGGTACGAACCTCACTGTCACGAAAGACTGGCCCTGCCACGCCACAGTGATACTAAAGCTCCGCATGAGCCGGCTTGAGCCGAGCCACAGTCTGGCTCGGCTCAGCTCGAAAAAAAAATTCTGGCCTGAGCCAGAATAAGCCGAGCCAAAAAAATTTTGGCTCAAGCTAAAGTGAGCCGAGCTGAGCCAGGATTTTCATGGCTCGAGCCAAGCCAAGCTCGAGCTTTATCTTCAAAAAAACGTTTCGCAACGTTTTTTTATTAAAGAATTAAAAAAAATGTTGTGAAACATTTTTTTCTAAAATAATATTGTGAAAAAAACGTTTTCGCAACATTTTTTTATTAAAAAACTTAAAAAAACGTTTTCGCAACATTTTTTTATTAAAAAACTTAAAAAAATGTTGTGAAACGTTTTTTTCTAATATAATATAGTGAAAAAAACGTTTTCGCAACGTTTTTTTATTAAAGAATTTAAAAAAATGTTGCGAAATGTTTTTTTCTAAAATAATATAGTGAAAAAAACGTTTTCGCAACGTTTTTACTAAAGAATTAAAAAAACGTTGCGAAATGTTTTTTTCCAATATAATATAGTGAAAAAACGTTTTCGCAACGTTTTTTTCTAATATAATATAGTGAAAAAAATGTTTTCGCAACGTTTTTTTATTAAAGAATTTAGAAAAACGTTGCAAAACGTTTTTTTCTAATATTAGATAATGAAAAAAACGTTTTCGCAACATTTTTTTACTAAAGAATTTAAAAAAACGTTGCAAAACGTTTTTTTCTAAAATAATATAATGAAAAAAACATTTTCGCAATGTTTTTTACTAAAGAATTAAAAAAAACGTTGCGAAACATTTTTTTTAATATAATATTATACAAAGGATCATTTTAACGCTCACTGGAGGTTAAATTCACCGGAGGACTCCAGGAGGTGAATTTCACCATATCACGTGATATTTATTATTATATTAAAATTTTGCTAAGATCGGTAATTACGTAACTTCAAATTTTTATGTTTGAATAAAAACGTGTAAAAAAGTTTTTCTATTGACCATTTAGCATGAACTTATAAAGTTTTATTAACGAAAAGTTTCTTTTTAAATTACAAGAATATACATAACTTTAATTAAACTATTACACC